AAAAAACTGTATAATAATTAAAAAAACGTTATCCAGTGGATCAAATTGTGAATCTAAACCATCCTTGAATTCACTTGAACACACACAAAAAAGAAGAATTATATATATAAAGATATAAATAACGTACAAAAAACAATGCCACGTCTTCGTGGACGATGAAGAAATATTGGTCGACGGATTCGGAATTCACAATTTCTCCAGAACCGTCGGTTAAATAGATCGGCAGAAAACAATGAAAATGTAAGAAAACAGGATACAATCACACGTGCTAATGAAAGTCAAGAGCAACGCAATGAACGCCAGAAAAATTAATTGCAAGGGGAAACAACGTTCACCGGGTCAGCTAGTATATATATATATATATTTTCATTTGATTTAAGAATTATACACAAACAACTTCGTGCTGAGTTCTTGCATTCCACAATCATCTTGTAATATTTATATTTAAATGATATCAAATTATCTACGCCAATTGACCACCTAATTGTAGTGGGTAGAGCTATGTCTTTTATTCCTTTTTTAAAAATTGTGTAAATAAATTTTTTAATAGATACATTCTGAAAATACTGTTAAAAATAATATATTGTTAGATAGATAAGATAGATATAAAATATGTTAGATATAAAATATGTACCGAAGACCTACAAGGGAACGAAAGTCATAGAGAAAATAGTAGAGACCGTTAGCTAAAAATTTAAGCATGCTCTAAGAAACTACATCATTAGGGAATAAAGTAATATTTTTAGAAAACTTTAATTTTATTAGAGATGTGATTTAATCATAAAATGATTGATATTTCCTATTTAAAAATTTCCAATTCTTGTATAAGAAATTATGTTAGTAAACAATAATAATTATCTGTATAGAATTTATTAATACTCTTAATACTTTGATTTTGTGATAAATACTGTTTCTAGAAAAGTGAAATGTTCAGAAAGCACACCAAATAATAATCATGTAACGTTTTTGAAAAATTCCAATTTGTTTCACATTCTAGTACATTATATTGTTGCCATACTCTAGAGAGACTCTTGATCTACTGATCCAATGATCAGTAATACCAATGATAAAACTAACTTATTATATTGTCCCGGAAATGGCATACAAAAATTTTACTACAGTTATTGTCTTGAGATAAGAATTGATTAAGGTATCTTCGTGAGGACACTTACAGTTTTGATATTGAATACGGTGTCGGCCAAGCATTTGTATTTGGTATATATTTTAAGATTCTAAATCTTAAATTATCTGGTCTTTTTTTTCAATTCTTTTAATGTTTTCAGCAGTAGATTGGATCTGCGATGTGGAACAAAGCAATACCAGATTACCATTGTGGATAAAAAGCACAATGTTTTTTTATCTCGGCTTTGGGATATCGTAATATTAGGAGAAATGGAAAAGTTGATGAACTAGCAAGAACAGAATGTGTCATACGAAAAGCTCTAACAGAAGCAGTTCTGATCCCTTTGAATGTAGTTGAAAGACGAGTAGTACAGTACAATCTGAATATAATTTTAGGCAGATATTGCTGATATGCAATACTAACGCTGCCATGAGAGCAGTTTTTATTGGTTCTTAGTCTATTGCAGCGCAGGCTGCCAATGTGGTGATCTAATATAATATTCAGTATTACACCTACAATCGCCAAAAGAATAAAAAAATGTTTCACTTACTCTGTGCATGTGTTGTTGTTTAGAAACAGAAATCAGTGACTGACTCTACATGAAGCTTCTTTCAAACATCTTAGGGAGTTAGCAAAAGCTAATTTTAATAGCATCACCTGCAGAGTTGCGTAAACCATATGGACTGGGTATTATTTAGCTGCTTACACAAACAACTAAGTTGGATACGTCCTAGTAACTAGGATGTGTCATCAATACGATGCAAAAGTACATATTAGACTTACGACCAATACTTGAATGCAATCAAATGTAATGGAAGCGTTAGTGTATCTCTATCACTTGTTAGCAATGACAAGAAGAATAAGAAATAATAATACGTTGACAGTATTCCGATAAAATATAAGCTATATAGAACTTAAAAGATCTAATTGAAATAGTTCTGATAATAAAAATAATAATATTATAATAATAATAAATATCCGATTATGATAATAAACTGTTTTCTTTTGAAAATATTTTCTTCTTAAAAGTTGTAGTTTTAATAAAAAACTGCGGAGATTATATTTATATTTATATTTATATTTATAGTAAGCATCTAAAATATTACATCACAAATACCACAAAATGCAGTTGCCACGTAATTAAATATTACCCTTTATATCATTTTTATAAAAACTAAATGCATTATTTTACATCGAAACTATAATAAATAAAGAACCTATTACGCCCATTAAACCCATTAAAATTTGAATAAAAAATTACCTTAGCGAAGTATCTGCGTGTAATTAATGTGTATTTTATTTAATGTATAAATTTAACGTATTTAAATAGTTACGCTATCATCAATCTTTTGGAGCACATCAGATTGCCTAGCTACATCGTTCACATATCGCATACAATCATCATCTCCATCTGAGTCTAACGATATAATTACAGACCCGGACTACAAATGCATGTAAAACAGACTGTTTATTACAAGTTAATTAGGGTGAACTCATTTACGATATGAATCGTACACACATTTGATACAAGCACTAAGGCTCGCTACAACCCAAAACATAGGCCAACCCATCTAGACCTAATTCGTTTGCAATATGAACTGATCTACTGGGCAACCAGTTGGATGTGAAGAGGTACGACAAAAATCCAAATAACCAATCCCAATTTATGATAACATTTTCCAAACAAATTACATTTTAATTAAATTGTTTTTAAAACAACAACTATTAACACACAACCAAACAACCAAACAAACAAACAGTCGAAGAGCCAGAGAGCCAAACAACATTAACAATTAAGGCGTTCGGTAACTATTGTTGTTGCATTCAATCGAATGCGAGGCTGGTTGCTCTGCGATGGCGCCTCAATGTTGCCACATGTGGCGTATGTGTATCGTTGCGCTAATGCGTTTTTAATTGAGGTTAGGGAAAAGTGAGTCGAAGAAGAGCAGAGCAGTGTAGGTTTTTTATTTCTTTTTAGCCAAAATTTCATAAGTCCGATCTATAGACTGGTAAAAAATTTTTGTTAATTAGCAGGGTTTCGTTGTGCTGTTTTTGGTGTCATGTCAACAGTTTCTGACAGCAATTATGACTAAAATTAATGGAGTTTATCTGTTACACTTTCGGGTCTTACGCGCTCTTCAATTGACTCATTTGAAGATATGAGAAGCCTGAGGTATTTAATGGTTTATTTAAACTAATTTCATTGTTGTTTTTATATTACTTTCTTAACTTTTGTTATTTTGATTAATAACCATGAAAATGTAATGTCTTTATTATTCAAAAGTGAGGTGAAATACTATGTATACTCATAAAAACTGTAAGTGGTTACAGTTTTAATAAGTACCATATATATGACTATCATTTATTCTAGAACATGCTTAATTTATTTTAATTGCATATAACATGTAACGTTTGGTGATGTCAGTTTTATCATAATGTTACCGCTAACATTACAACTAACAGCAGTTCTTAAAAAATACTTTGGGATTCTCAAGACGGCATTTGTAATAATAATAACGTTAAGATAGTGCGTTATTGAAAACATGAACGTTAAACGAACTATATTGAAAAATTATTTAGTTATCCGACAAAATTGTATAAAAGGTATATAGGTTAGGTTAGGTTAGATAAGGTTATACCGACGTACTTAAGGTTCAACTTAAGCCAATTAGCAAATTATGTTACTGTAAATAAATTACAGAAATTTAAAAACTACATTAAATTTTTGGTAAAGCTTAAAATGTTCTTTAGAAAAAGGGCCAGGAGTTGACCACAGGAAGATTAAAATATTAAGTCGGCGCCACGCCTTCATTGACAAAGCAGGTGTTAGACACTTTTATCGATCTCTCCATAACTACACAAGAAATGATTAAACGGGAGATTCAATCATATAGCAATCATAATCATATAGCGTGACCCGTTAAACAACTTCACCATAAGATAATATCCTTATACAGTATAGAATACAGTATTTTATCATATAACATCGCTGTCAACTTACATATAGATTTCTAAATAATGAAGAGTCTTCTCTTCTAATATTATTATTTTCTTAATAAAAAATATATATGAGGTATTCGTCATATGTATCTTAATGAGCATAGCAATAGAAATAGGAATAGATCTTACAGAGAGACCGTCCGTCTATCTGTATTGCGGTGTTTTACGAGTATATTATTATTTCCTTGGTTAGTATCACTACTTAAAAATACCAGTATTTTCTGCAGGAAATTGATCATATATATTTCTTATAACATTTTAAACAAGTTATCCCACAAGGACTTCATACAATAGGATATAGAATGGAAGTTGTTCGAGATCATTTGAATCAATTAAAAGCTATATATCTGCCAGGAAACCATTTAACATATGATAATGTACTTTCATTTTATTTAAACATACCAATAATTTAGGCTTGTAAATCTTTTTAGATCTAAAGGAGGCAGGAGGCATACCAATAATTTAGGCTTGTAATCTTTTTAGATCTAAAGGAGACAGTAGCAACAATAAGTTTTTGTGTTTTACGGTGGGGACTTTTGGATGATTTCATTTTTCTGTATGGGTTTCTCTTCGAAATTACTAGATTAAGTGAAAAATGTTATTCAGAAATACATATGAAGTGAATTTAAAACGATACATGGGTCTATGATCTCGTTGTATACACCCGCTAAAAATAGGCGAATAATAGAAAAAATGATAATTGTTAGAGTGCAATCATTTCAACTTGTAAGTACCGTTTTTCCAACTTTCAAAACTAAACTATATTTATCTACATCTCACAAGTATTGGCGAGTTTGCTAAATTCATGGTGTCATTACTCAAATAATATTTTTCAAATTATATACTATATAATATATAGGTTTGGGTTTGTACTTACTACCAGGAAAGCGATGCGGAAATATACGTCCATGTCGACTCAGCAGCCACGGATACAATGGATAACTGTCACGTATTATATGAGGTCCGCCAAAATGTGGATGATGTGGTCCCGGTGGAAAAATACCAATTGGATGACCAGTGGTTAAATGTGGTGGTGGTGGATGGTGTTGTTGCTGTTGCTGCTGGTGATGATGTGCCAAAGCGGCCGCCATTTGAAATTGTGCAGCTAAAAAGTGTGGATTAGTAGGTGGAGGTGGTCCATGCGGCGAAGCTGGTACCACAATATTACCAACTGGTAATATAGTGGGCGGCAGTGCAGTAGCTACTGGCGCTATGGACGTTTGAGAGGAACCTAATGTTGTAGTTTGTGGTGCTAATTGATGTGTTGCTGGTGCTGTGCCATCCGTTGAGTTATTGATGGTTGCAGCTGCTTGTGGTTGTAATTGAATCGGACGTATACCTGGTACATGTATAGGTACTTTAGGTGTGCCAAGTATTGGTATTTGGGTGCTGTGCGTAGAAGGCGTAGGAGATCTGCTATGATTTGGCGAACGGGAACGTGAGCGGCATCTTGTAGGACTGGCAGTTTCGCGTTCCGGTGTGCGATCCAAAGAAGAACGTCTCCTACAATAAATAAAACCACGTTGTAACGCTTGTTTTTGTTCCGCAATGTGGCGTTGACTTATGGCTAAACTATTTCTTAATTCTAAAGGTTGTTGGCAATTAAGGGAGTCATCACTGACATTTAGTTGACTGGGTGTGAGACGTTCGTAGCTTGTGTTACGTTCACGTTCTTCTGGACTATCGCTACGCTGCGAGGATGATAGCGTAGGTGATATAACACTTGGACGCAGCAATGATCTTCTATCTGCGGTAGTGATACCACCACCAGCACCACCACCGACAATGGAGTCTATACTAAATGCTAATTTTGGTTTGGTTGTCGATGCTGTTGTTGTAGCCGCCACAGCTGCCGCAACCGATGGTGTCAGTCCAACAACAAAAGGATTAATTGGCGCCATCGGCAGCATATTGAATGGTTGACGACCGCACGTGACCATTTGCAAAACGAAAGCGACTGCGGCTCTTACCGTGCGTAACTGACCACAAAGTGACAAAAAGTAATACAAAAATGACAAATACGAATTGTGTTGTCGGTTTAAATGCGGTGCACTTTTTCAATTAAATTTTAGTTTCAAATCGAGTGACATTAATTTTGCGGTTTATGTATCTGCGAATGTATAGGAGGAAATGATGCTTCACTGATTGTTTACTTAAAAATAAAACAATACTAAACTGGACCGCATTAACGAAGCGTAACGGCTTCGTTCGTGGTTCAATAGAGAAACTGTCAACGCCATTATCGGACTAAAAACGTTTAATTGCGCGCACAAAACACAATGAAATTCTAACTTTAATTTTTGACGTTTGCGGGAGCGGTTGTCACCATTTCACACAACAACAAAACATACAACAGAAGCTTATATGCACATTCGAACGCGTGTCACAACGAGACTCGATTCAACAGCAACAAACGCAAAATGGCGTTGTCGGTTTTGCGTGTATGCGTCGGTAATTTGTTGTTTAATGGGTTTTTGAATAGTAAGAAATGAAAAAGAAGGAAACGAAAAAATTTAATCTTATTTGAAAAGTACGCCGTCGTCCGTTATTTGCAAAATAATGCCGAGCCAAACGAGTGCTAAGCACACAATAAGCAAAAGCAAATTAATGTGTGCGGCCAAAATGCGTGAAATGAAAGCTGTGCTGTATAATTTATGCATCTCGCTCTGTTAAAAGCGGTCTACGAAATAAATTTCTCTATACGTAGGAGTAAAAGAGCAGGGCAATGGAGTTTGTTTAGCGCTTTTATGTGTGAATGCTTTTATGTACGATATGTGCTAGAGGTTTACTGCTTTTTTTATTTAGCTTTATTTAACTCACATATAAACATATGTATTATAAACCAACTTTCTGTTCTCTCTCTCTCAAGTTTGTAACAAGTTTATACTCTTTTTTCAAATGTTTTGCTCTTTTTGTTTTAAATCTGACTAAAGCCGTTTATAGCATTAAATTCTTTTGACAGCCAAACAAATAATTTGCGCCAAACAAAACAGCATCATTAAGCAGTTTGTGGTTTTTTAAAGTAGCACACAGCAAGACAACGTCCCGTCGCTCGTTGCCCGTGACTAGGTGCAAGAAATCAGAATAAAACTGGTTGTGGCTCACTCACTTGCAATGAGTTGCGTGCTTTTGTGTTTATTTTAAAAAGGGGCGGTAACTTGTTTTTTGTAAATTTTGCAATTGCTGCATTAATGCACTTCACAATGATGGAGCAGTCAAGCAAGTGGGCAACACATTAGGCTAGTGTGGCAGGCACAGAGGAGAGTTGTGAAAATAAACACCTCGTTAAAAGTGCAAGACAATGCGCAGATATGAGTAAAATAATAACAATAATAATCGCAAAATATGTGGCTGCTGCTGCTGCTGCTGCTGCATCAACGACAACTTTGCAAACAAATATATTATCATCATCCATATGATGTGTGCTTTGTCTGTCCCCTGTAAGTAAGTATGTGTGCAGGATTGCATATATGTTTGTCTGTCCTTTTGTCTGTTTGTCCGTCTGTCTGTCTAGCTATTCGTCGTGAGTAGGCATTAAGAAATTAACGTTTGCATTTGGTGATCTTTTACGCGTTGTGCCAAGTTGTACGATTTGTAGTTGTACATTTACGTTAATTTCCGTATGCATGTGTGCAGTTCTATTTGCGGACAATTTTCGTTGTTATTGTAAATTTTTTGTGCAAGTTTTTGTATTATCCTTTCTGGGGTTTTTAATAATGGTAAGTGGAATTTTATAATTTCAATTTTAATATTGAGTATTTGAATTTTAGTTGACTATTTCATTTTATATTAGTGAATGTAATTAAGTAGAATATTAACATGAATAAATTAAAAATTTTAAATATATATAGGTTTAATATATAGTTTTTTAACTATTGAACTATAATAAGCTATAGTCCAAGACTGATGTATTACCCTTTTTTGCAACAATCAAATAGGAATTGAGCCAAGTCAAAAACTACTTAGCCCCTAACTCAAAATGTAGAACCTCTTACTTAGTGCATAGAAGTGAATCGGTTGTACCTTAGATAAAATCTGTCCTAATGGGATACTGGTCTGAAGGATAGCACTTAGTCATACTCGGCCTGGCGTGTCGGATTTCCTCTGGTACATATCCAGGTTCGTTCATAACCAAACTTAAGCTTCTGAATGTCCCGTTATTACACTCGGCGATATTTTAAACATTAGTCTTGGAAAAATACTTGTTTTTATCAATGTATTCAGCTGATTCCAATATGCCCATCTACCTACAATACCAAAAAATATGGAATTAAAATTAATTTTTTAGCTGATTGAGGAGAATGCAATTCTCTTTTCAATTCATCTACCAAATTATTATTACAGATTACATATTTAATACTTTTCTTGTACGGAAGTACCCATGTGATAAGTAAATTCTGTACGACAATGATTCTTAATAGGTTTATTTACGCCAACATATTCGATGGAGTAGTTAAAACGTTGGTGCATACCCCACTTGCCCCTTTACATGCTAATGTCTTTTGGATAAGCCTAAGTCTCTAAGTACTTATCGTATTTATCTTAATTATCTACCCTTATTATTCACTAATTATGGCTAGTGATGGAAATTCCTATCCCTATTCATTCCTAAGAGGTAATTTTAGTGGTTTAAAGTTGGTTATTGAAAGCAATAAGTGCAATTCTTTGGATAAGTTTTGAAAAACAGAATGGTAGATGCATCTTTCTATGACTTAAGCTAGTATTTTCCCCAACTTTTGGAGAGAACATACCTTTATAATGGCTTTTAATTATTTTAAAACGAAATAAGGGAGAAAGTTATAAGAAATTAGATGTTTTACCGGTAATCTGTTATATTACTAGAATATTTAAGTAACAGAAAGAAAATATATTAAAGATTTGGACTATGAATTTGTACTAGTAATCTGCAATATTATATGAAATGTGAAATAATCGCACCAATTTAATTTAAAACATAAAAGGATTTTAGGCCATGGAGACTTGTATTAAGACTTTCCAATTTAATATATCTCTCTTCAATGACAATAATTCCAATACAAAACACTATATTAATAATTTAACACGTTAAGTATAATTTAAGAAAAAATACTTTTTATTATACAGTATTTTACTTTTTACTGAAAAAAAATAAAATCTTATTTACAGTTCCATAATTTATGTATTTTATTTTATTTGAGTATTTAATATCTTCTCAAATGTATTCATATGCAATTAAAATATTTGCAATTCCCAAATTACTTTTACTAATTAACGCCCTACACCCTTCAAATTAAAATACAAAATCTCAATAATATACACCCCCACACTCCATTTCATACATTATATACATTTGCAACAATAATACGCTGTCCATTAAGAAATAGATAACAAAAGCATATGAGTTCCACACATTTTCATTGCGCTGCTTCCAGGATCCACAATAGATAAATTCTTCAGCACTCAAACGCAAACGCTGATTGGTGATGCTAACAACATACGTTAGAGAGAGAACTTGCTCACAACAAGTGTGTAAGTAAAATAATGACCGAAATATGTGTAGTAATTGAACAAAAAGAGATAGCGTATTTAGAAACACACAGCTTGACTTGAAAACATGTATAGCTGCATATGATGAAACAAAAACGTGGTATATTATAAAACGTAGAGTGTTGTTTGAAGTGCAGAAATCCAATTCATTTAATAATTGCCAAGAAGATGAAGCTCATTACGACGAGAGTACTTTTGATGAGCTTATTTAAGTAAGAGGCGAGCTAGGAGGTTGCTATTATAAATATTCACGCTATTATAAAAATAAATATTGACTAACAAAAACAATAGACAATGTAGCGTTCCCTGTTTATATTAACACACTTGGGAATGTGTGTTTTTGCTCTGCTTCTTCTTAACAGACGTATCTTATGTAAAGTGTATTAAAGTATATGAATAAATGTAAATTTAAGCTGCCCATTTATTTATAATTACATTAATATACATATAAAAACACATAAATAATAAATATTAAAGGAATAAATAAATGGCAAATTATTTAATTTATTTTTTTCAGAAGCAGTAACTCTAACCCATTTTTAGAATACATTTTTATCTCATGTAGTGAAGTGTACGTGTTAATATTGTATAAATAAGTAATATTTTTTTTTTAAATATTATACAAACTATTTTTCTTTTATTTTTAATCATAAAACGTTTTTAATGTTGATTTTGACAGCAATGAAGACTCCATAGCCGCTAATGTTTGTAGCGCCTTATCGAGAATGCCGCTGTCAATTAAGTGCTTTGTTTTTGTGGTCGCTTTGGACTTTTTTGCTTAAGCTTATTTTCCTTCTATTAAAAATAATTGGCTTAGTTAGTTTATTAAATCGCAAATGGCAAGAGTAAAAGGGTTGTAATAGTAAAACAGTCAGGAAATTGGCAAATGGTAGTTTCAAGATGGAGTCGAGCATAGTTAAAGTCTGTGCTATTGTTATCTCATTCGCACGTATACTTTGCAAATTAAGCGACGCTTGCTATGTATATATCTGCGTTTATTGCTTCTATTAATGAGAATCAGCACTCTGATGACGTTGCGAAAGGTGGTTGTGGTGGTGGTGGGTTAAGTTTTTGTATGAACACTTCGATCAATAGAGCGCTCACACAACATAGCGCGTTGTGTGTGAACAGGCAGGCAATGGGGAAATGTTGACACAACTAATTGGCATTATTTGTTTTATTAAATGAGCATTTTGGTGTGTAGCGACACTGATTTAATTAAAAAATTGTTTACCATAGCCCGTCGGGTTTTGCGTGATGTGCATAATGGCATAAATTTGTAATGAAGTTGGTTTGTTTGTTTTAAACATAATAATTGTATTTATGATTATAATTGCTATTACATTAATGATAATTGAAATAATTGAGAATATACAACATATGTGTACATCATTTATAAGCAATTAAGGTGTATTATTAAGAGATGGTTGCTTTAAAGAATTAAATGATAATTACAATTATAATTTAAATGTTTACAAATTCAAAAGGATATATATTACATCATGTATAATACATGATATAATATCACAAATACATATAGTATCTGTGATTTGATTTTTATGGTTTTTCAATGAATTTTTTATTTAAATTTATAATATAATTTTTAATAAACAAATACTACTTATATTCTATTCACACGATATATGTTTATTTAAATTAACTCTTAATATGTGGGTGTTCACATTAACAGACCCAAATTTTTGTTTTTCGTTTCAATTCAATTAAATAGTAAGCTTTTTATACCAAACTATAAACAATTATCAGTTTAAGCCCAGCACTAACATCCATTACGCTTGAAAAATCTATATAAAATTACAAACAAAAACATTCTTCACAAAATTAGATTTATTTTTTGAAAATTAAAACAAACAATTTAAACAATGCTTTAAGGACTATTTGTTGACTAATAAAACAATATTTTGAGTTCAATGTGTAGACTAATTAAATATTGTTTTGAAGTCTTTATATAGAACAAATTAATAATTTTTTGAGGTTAATATATATACCTCTGTACTGAACAAGCAAAAATATATATATTACA